TATATATATATATATATATATGTGTGTATGTGTGTGTATGTATGTATGTATGGCAGCAGCCATCTTGGATTTTGACCTGGCAACCCAATTTTTGACAGTGACCTTTCCTACATCTAGATGCAGGCACACATCAAAATGGAAGTTGATGTTTTTCAAGTTATCAGCTCACAAGACGGACAAACACGTGCGACGTGTGCGGTGGAAAATACGGTAAACTAAATACTAAACGGGTATTCCTTGAAGGAACGCTAATCGCCCGCTGGCTATCATGATGGAGAGTTGAACCCAAATCAGATGGAGTTCGGTGAAACCTTGCGAATGATGTCATGAGATCTCGTAAAATCTGTTAGTGCTCACAGATACGTGTCGAGGATGACTCTGAGCTACTACCACGCCCAACTGTAGCTCAAGACCTGAAACATAGACTGAGTTGGTCACGTTCGTGAAGGCTAAAGTTAATTAGCTGTGGCAGCCATCTTGAACTGGGTTTAACATGTGGATCTTTGGGAGTTTCTGTTAAATCTGTCCGGTGGTTCCTGTGATTTTTTCTTGCTAACAGACGTGGGTAAAAAAACGTTATCGCTGCTGGTGACCAACCAAAGAGTACCCAGATTAAACACTTTTAGGTTTTAAAGAGAGGAGAAATGAAAAGCTTTGGCGATCCCGTCCCATGTTCTTCTCCTGTAGCTGCGTTATAATCCGTTGAATGTCACCGTGAGGCGTTGTGTCGCCGACTCGTGAACATTTAGCGGGTGTCCGGGCGACGTCTCGGCTCTCACCGCAGCTCTCCTCGTCGCTCCGATCGCCGCAGTCATCGCTGCCGTCGCAGAGCTGACGCTGGTCCACGCAGCCGCCGTGGCGACACTCCTCCATCCCTGCTGGACACTCGCTCCCAGGGAGGGGCACTAAGAGAACATGCAACACAGAGACGGGCAGCGCTTCAGTCTCAGTCAGCGCTCTGATGTGCTCGGTGATGGCACGAGAGTCTCACAGGGCAGAGCGCAGTCCAGGAACTCCAGCTGATCGACGGCTACGTCTCCTCTTCGCCCCTCTGAGCGCTGCGAGTGAAGACGGAGCCTGAAGTTCGAGGGAACGGAGCCCACAAAGATGGTGGCTTCCCTCCAGCTCCGGGAGCTGGAGGCCTCGGGGCGCCACACCACGGCCTCCTGGGAGTTGTGGTGGGAGATGGACGCCCAGAGCGGTGCAGAACCGAGGCCCGTGTGACCTGGAAACACGTCAACGTTAGCTTGTCTGCAAACCGTCTGAACCTTGGCTTCGATTTGTGTCGTCACCTGAATCCCAGAGGAAGTATCTGAGGCGCAGCCGGCACGTCGGCGAGGATCGTTTCATCTCGGGAGAGGATAAAACCGAACGCTGAGGACGTCCTGAACTCACTGCGCTCACTCCCACGAACCATCCTGTAACGTGGAACCAGCTCAGTGCAGAGAACTGCTCGGGTCACATTCCAACCTCTGATTATTGGAAACGTTTCGTTAAATCCTGCTGCTACAGAAACCTCTAAACCAGACGGAGTAACCAGCAACTTGAGAAGAAGTTGGTGATGTTTACATGAAGGTTCTTCTCATTTTTTACATTTTAACACAAAACCCAAAATGAAACGATCTTACAGCGACACAACAACGAGACGTATTTTTTGTCTTTATTGAACGACGCTTCCTTCGTATCGTTGCAGCTTCATGTGGAAAAGAAACAAACTTTTAACAACACGAAGGAAAACGGACTTGGTTAAGTTAACGGACACAACTGACACTTTCAGTGCTTCAAGAACTCGTGTGGAGCGGGACATTCACGGGTCCGGAAGGTTTCTGGAAACGAAACAATAAAACGAGTAACTCTCAGGTGGAATATGAGCCGAAACGTTTTCAGTCCGACGATTCTCCACGAGCACTTTTTACTGACGCTCTGCAGAGAAAGGCGCCTCATCGTTTGTTCTCCAGAGGAAACGAAAACAGCCAGAGCAACGTCATCTCCTGTGACAAGGCTGAGTGAACGTTAGCAACCAGCTGAAAAGGTTTCATCGCTGAACTGCTACAGCGAGCCGAATTTGAGCAGCTGGAAGCAGGAAAATAAAAGCCGAAAAATTTAGAAAAAGCTGAATGTCGCAGAAATAAGCAGAATAATCTGAAATAGTCAGAGAGACTGAGTAGGATAAAAAGCTGAAATTAGCAAAAAAAAAAAAAGTAGCTAAAAAGAGCTTAAATTAACAGAAAGCGGCTGAAAAAAGCATTAAAAAGTTTAAACTAGCAAAAATATAGCTAAAAAGAGCTTAAATTAGCACAAAGAGGCAGAAATAAGCATGAAAAGCTGAAATTATCAAAAAAAAAGGTAGCTAAAAGGAGCTTAAATTAACAAAGAGGATGAAAAAAGAATTAAAAAGTTGAAATTAGCAAAAAGTAGCTAAAAGAGCAAAAATTAGCAAAGAAATGTAGCTAAAAAGAGCTTAAATTAGCAGAAAGAGGCAGAAATAAGCATAAAAAGCTGAAATTAGTAAACAAGTAGCTAAAAGAGCAGAAATTAGTAAAAAAAGTAGCTAAAAAAAGCTTAAATTAACAGAAAGAGGATGAAAAAATAATCCAAAAGTTGAAATTAGCAAAAAAGTCGCTAAAAGAGGAAAAATTAGTAAAAAAAAGTAGCAAAAAGAGCTTAAATTAGCACAAAGAGGCTACGCATTACAAAGTTGAATTTAGCAAAAATGTAGCTAAGAAAGCGCTAAAATTAACAAAGAAAAGTAGCTAAAAAGAGCTTAAATTAGCCAAAAGAAGCTGAAATAAGCATAAAAAGCTTGAATTAGCAAAAAAGTATCTAAAAAGAGCTGGAATTAGGAAAAAAATAAGTAGCTAAAAGAGCTTGAATTAGCAGAAAGAGGCTGAAAAGGGGCAAAAATCAACATAAAAATAGCAAAAATATGCTAAACTTAGCAACAAAAAATACAAGCTGAAAATGTTTAAATATGAATTTAGCAGAAATAAGTTGAAAGTTGGCTACAAATAGCTAAAATGGTGAAATGAATAGAAAGAGGTTGGAAGACGCTAAAAGAAGCTGAAATCAGCACAAAGAAGCTAAAAAAAGCTGAAGCAGAACAAAAGTTGAAATGAGCGGTTGTAAACAGCTCAAGGGTTTGAAGGATGGGAAGAGCTCCGTTCATTTTCAATGAGAAAAACATGGCCGACAAAGCTAAATGTTCCAAAAAGTTAAAACTGCACAAATACCAAAAGTCAGAGCAGGACTGTCCTGAATGAGCCGAATGTTTTGATGTACGAACTGCTGAAATAGAGCAAAAATAAAAAAGTGGAACAAGTTACGTGCCAAAAAACTTACAGAAGAAAAATTAATCTCAAAAATGAGAATGATTTAAAAACATTCATAAACTCAACGAGTCAAAGAGACAGAAAGATTTTTTTATTAATGCTGGCTACGAAAATCCGCCCTTAATGATGTAACAAGCCGACTTTTTGAAAAGAGCCTCTGCAGTTTGTTTTTTTAAATCATCTAACTGTCTGAATGTTTATGAAGCTTTCACTGTGACCCAGTTTTCTTCTGTATGTTTTTTGTTACGATTCCTGCAGTTTTTGTGCCATTTCAGCAAATCATGAATCAAAACATTCAGCTACTTCAGGACAATCCTGCTATGACTTTTGGTATTGGTGCAACTTTAGCTTTTTGAAATATTTAGCCTTTTCTGCAATTTTTCACATAGAAAATGAATCGAGCTCATTTTACATCCTTCAACTCTTTAGATGTGTTTACAACCTTTTACTGCTCCTTTCACATTTTGTTCTGCTTCAGCTTCTTTCAGCTTCCTGCTGCTAATTTAAACTTTTTTTCAGCTACTTTCAGCTGTTTTGTGCTCCTTTCAGGTTTTTTTTCTAACTAAAACATTTTGTGCTTCTTCTAACTTATTTCTGATAATTTCAGCTTGTTATGCTCCTTTCAGCTTATTTCTGCAAGTTTCAGCTGTTTCTATTTCAGCTATTATTTAGCTGTTTTGTGTTAATTTAAGTTTTTTCAGCTAATTCCACATTTTTTGCAACCATTACAACTTTTTTCAACCTAATTCAGAAAAAATGTGCTCTCTCCACTTCATTCGGGTAATTTAAGCTTTCTGCTTTTTAGCTACTTTCAGCTGTTTTTTGATAATTTCAGCTTTTCTTCCAGATAATTTCCACTTTTTCATGCTCATTCGTCCTGCTTCTTTCAACAAATATGTTCTTTCTGCTTTCTTCTGCTTATTTAAACTTGTTTTACATTTTCATCTACTATTTTTTTTAGCATGTTTAGCTAATTTCAGCAATTTTCAGATAAAATCAAGTTTTTGTGGTAATTTCTGCTACTTTAACTTTTTTCTACTGATTTCAGCTTGTTATGCTCCTTTAAGCTTTTTTCAGATAGTTAGGCTTTTTCTGCTATTTAAGATACCTTTTTAGCTACTTTTATGCTAAATTTAGCCTTTTCAGCTAATTCCACATTTTTAGCTCATGTCAGCTCCTTCTAGAAGTTTAAGCTTCTTTCTGCCTTTTCAGCTGTTTCCATCATTTTTTTCTAATTTCAGCTTTTTTGGTGCTAATTTCTGCTTATTTAAACCTAATTCAGCAAATATGTTCTTTCGGCTTTCTTCTGCTAACTTGGGCCATTTCAGCATGTTTTTAGTTAATTTCAGCAATTTTTCAGCAAGGTCTTCAGTAATAAGCTTTCACACTGCATTTTCACAGGAAATGCAATTCCTCTAGTTCTCTGTTAATTCCACTTCACATTAAACCCGTTTTGTACCTGTAGCTGTGCCGGTGGTGTAATCAGAAGAAGGTCCGCTGTCGGGCAGCCCGTCCCCGCTCTGAAGTCTCTCCCACGTGTACATTTCTCCAGAAGACTCGAGCGTCCATCCACAAATCCCTGCATCCTCGAAGTCACACTCAAACGTTTTTCCTCCGTAGCCTCGAGGGAACAAAATAATCAATTTAAACCCAGTAAACCCATTAACGATGGAGGCAGAGACAACATAAAGAGCTGCGATTGTAACGATGTTGACGTAATGCGTTGATTCAAATAAATGATCTTAGTTTGCCGTACGTGTAAACTCACCGCAGTTGTGCTCATCTCTGCAGTCATCACAGTCGCACACAAAGTCACATTTTCCCTCAGGAGTCTCACAGCGAGGAGCACAAAAACCAGAAGCTGTGTCGAATAAATAAATCATGCTGGTCTCATTTTTTTTTTTTTAAATAGTCGTTTTCTGCTAAACGTGTTCAGTTTAAACTACTGAGAAAGTTTAATCTGCTGATGAGATTCTGGTTATGAGATTACAAAAAAATCCAGAAAACGATAAACCAGTTTTATGGCTTTTGTCACTGTTTTGTATCTAAGTTGAACCTCCGCATTTAAAGCGTAGTTTTAAGTGCAGGGTTTTCTGGAGTAATTATTAGTAGTCAGTATCTTGCCTGCTGTGGATAGAGCTCGGTGTGATCTCAGTTTTGAAGAATCAAAGACAAATACTTTTTTATGTTTTTGTATGTCCTAGTGTACAGCACTTTGGCCAACAGTGTTGTTTTAAAGTGCTCTATAAATAAAGTTGTATTGTATTGTACTTATTTGGAACTCGAGCTAACTCAGAGAGAAAATTTATATAAACTGAAACAATTCAAACTAAAAACTTTAGTAATTTTACCTAATTAACTTGGAGTAGCTAATAGCTTAACTTTGATTAGCCTTAATAAATAGCTTTTATCTTGTAAAGTATACTATTATAACTAGGGATGCACGATATTATCGGCATGGCATCGGCCGATAATATCGTTAAAGTTAAATATCAGACATCGACCATTCCATCAAAATAACTCAACGATATAAAAGCCGCCATTTTTGTTTGACAACCCAGTGACAAGGATGTCTGCAGCGCCAGCACAACGTGATGACGTCACTCCTACCTGATCTGATCACGGCGAAGAAGAACAAGTCAAAATGTCGGCGGTGTGGAATTTTTTTTCATCGAGGATATCGGATTCCGAAGATTTTTGGACTACGATGAGCTTCGCTACATGGTCCCCAGTCAAAGATATTTCCGAGTTACAAGCCGTCATTTCCGACGTCATTGAGAAGATAACAGCCGTCGTGTTAGCCCCGTTAGCTTGATTAGTCTTACGGAACAATGGATACACAAAAACTTTGAAGTGCTATGAATATCATATGGCTGTTACTGAATACGTCACCAGCTCTTACAGCTGTTACACAATTTTTGTAGCAAATAACCTAAATAAGAGGGCGATGTTCTGACAAAGGCAAGTATATTAAAAATATCGGTATCGGCCAAATAAGTTTTAACGTATCGGCATATTGGATATCGGCCAAAAATCCAATATTGTGCATCCCTAATACAACTATACTACTATCGGAGTAGGCCAACCAAAAAGACAACATTGTTGTTTGAGCACTTCTCCACATTAACAAACACACACTGTACTCCAGTGAGAAAAAGTTTGGCCGGAGCCTTGTGTTGAGAAGGAGCAGGAGAAGTTACACCAGAACAAAAAGACACCATTTTTATCATGCAACTAAGACATTCGCTCATCCGGGAGAGACTCAGAGTAGAGCCGCTGCTCCTCCACATCGAGAGCCAATGAGGTGGTTGGGGCATTTGGCAAGGATGCTGTTAGCAAAATATCTTATTGCTCATCTTACTTAAAAAGAACTACGAAGATTTGTAACCAGGATTTTAAGTGCAAGGTCAGATTTTCAGGTCAGGTTACATTTACATGAAGAACACACGAGGACCATGATGAGAATGTGCCTGGAGCTGCCTTCTCAGCTTGTTTTTATATCCTTATCAGTTTATATCCTTATCAGTTTATATCCTTATCAGTTTATATCCTTATCAGTTTATATCCTTGACAGCTGCAGCCTCACTCAGCTCCTCATCATTAACCCAGACATGGTTCATGGGCGGAGACAAGATTCTCAGCCCTGGTAATAAAAACTTCCATAACCTTTGACCAAAGAGTCTCTAACCTACAGTATGCCTCCTGGATGTTTCCATATCCAACAAAGAGACTCCACCTAGAACATGCTGGACATACCGTCTCTCAGCTAGTCTGGGAGTCTTCCCAGAAGAGCTATGGAGAGAGGTGTCTGGACCTCCCTGCTCAAGCTGCTGCTGCCAAGACCGGAATCCAGACCAAGTGGCAGATAACGGATGGATGGAGGTAACTAATAACCTAATGTCACTGCCTATCGACGATCACCAACATTATATTGGAAAAACTTTCAGAATGGACCGAGCGCCGCCGCCCAGCGGCTTGTTGTCGAGGGGTGGTGTTGATGAAAGCAAGCACTTCCTACTCCACACAACCCCTAAAAACTTTTACCTTTCATTACCGTCACTTTGAAATGTTATAAATGACTGCAACATACATTCAGTTATTACACAGACACACTAACAGAATAAAGAGCCATTTCAAAACCAGAGAATTGTTAAGACTTTTGCCATTGTTGAAATATTTTTACTGAATCCCACGACTCTCTTTCAGAACGCAGTAAAGATTTACAGTCCGACTGACACCAGCCGGCTCAAAGTTCAGAGAGAAACAATTCCGTCAAACCAAAGGTCTCTGATTACAACTCAACGTTGTTGCTTTAAATGGCAAAGAACCAGAAACCTCAGGATTATTCCAGATGCTGAAAGGACTTGATGCTTTTCAAACAGAAGTCAAGACAATCAAGTTGAGACCTGTAAAACTTTTTATAGAGGATATGACGATGTGCCAAATATCTGAAAATACTTTCATCCATTAATTTATTATCCAAGATAAATCTAGACCTTTGACTAGTTTTCAGATTTTGACAAGATGGTAAAAAAAATTATCTACTTTGTTTTGCAATTTAGAGCAAACTTTTCTGCACATAACCTCCATCTGTAAGTAAAATTACACTTTTAGCCAATATTCTTATTAAACGTTGCTATCGTTAAAATGTGCACTTACCCCACAGCACTGCCAAGAGCAGGAGAGTTGAGCTCCTCAGTTGTAGCATCTTTACTCCTCGTCTGCCATATCAGTCTGAATACAACCCGACTTAACCAACTCTGCCCTTTATTTCTAAGAGATACAAGATGGACTTTAAAATCATCCAGCATGCAACGGCAACCAACAATCATAAAACCTCCAACAGGCGTGCATGTGTTGCACAACAGATGTGATTCAATGTATTGTACATGCAAAGAACACAATTATCAAAATTAAACTAAAATTGCTTACTTTGCCATTTAGTTATTCATGACAAATATCCAATATCACATATCTGTTACTGTTTGAAGCTACAGTTGGTACAATATTTGTGGTGGCTGTTCAACTGTCGTCACTCAAGTCCTTTTTATACCGTTCAATACCACGCATAAACCTAGATATCATCATCAAAGTAGTGGAGGAATGCTATATTTTCTTAAAATGGACCACAAAGGCAACGCGTATAAAAAGCAGTGGACCTAAAATAGACCCTTGAGGGACACAAGTCAGATGAGCACGGTTTGTTTCCCTGCTCCAACACTTGATTCAATGGTTGAATGTTCTGCTGAAGATTTCTAATCCCCCATGGATTCAAATCAGATGTGTTGGAGCAGAGAAACAGCTAAAACGTGCAGGACAGTCGCCCCTCGAGGACCAGGACTAGACACCCTTGTGGTCTTACCAAACTTTCAAGCAGATTTTGGTCTCGGTGATCTTTGTACAGGCTTTCTTTCAGTGTTGCATGACAGTCTGCCAAGAGATCATTCAAAGACCAGTTTACAAAAACCACTGAGACAATGTTGAACCAGTTGAGCTCAAAGAAACCATTGAAAGACCCCTTTGTTTCCCTCCGTGGAAAGAGGGATTTAATGGATTAAGATCAAGATGGAGAACCGAACCAATTAGTGAGTTCTAACTACTTGCAATCGCACTGCTTAGTGGTACGGGGAAACTATGATCAACTGTCAGACCTCAGGTTCAGGATGAACAGTGTGGTTTTTGTCGGGATCATAGAACAGTGGCACCATCGTCACCCTTGCAGAGTCGCTAAGAGGTCGTAGTAGTTTGACACCGATCCATGTTTTGAAGATCTGTAAAAAGATTATGACAGCATTCTCGGAGGCATTCAGGAAGGAGTGCTTTTAAAGGCTTTCCGGTTGAAACAAAGTGGAGCTGTCAGAATCCTCAGCACAAAGTCAAACCCTGTGTGGGTTGGACTCCATCAGTGCTGCTCCATGGACAGGATCTCAAGGTGTTAGTACAGTGATGGAAAGAAGAGTGTCTGGGCATCATCTCAGCCTTTTGTAGCAGATGTGGTTCTGCTGGCATCTTCAAACCAAGAGGCACTGAGCAAGAATTCATGCTCGAGTGGTGATATACACACATTGTAAAAAGAAAACCCTCACGGGAATGCTTTTACCATTCTGTGCTGCCAGGGAAGAAATGAACACAGCTCAGGAGAAGATTTTCAGGAATATTTATGAAACAGACATAAAAATAAAACAAATAAGGCTCATTTTATGTTGGATTTTAGGTTAAATCTAAGAGGCTGTGTGACTCTAAAACAAGTCTGTGACTGTTTATCTGCCAAACCGTTATAGTCAAGGTGTTTCCAAATGTAATGTCACAATTTCAAACACCGAGTTACGCTACAGTAGGTGTTCCGATGGTTAACAAGGGGCAACAGGAAGTCCAGAATGAGAAAAGTGCAGCAAAATGTGTCTCCGGTTCATGTCAGTAGCCGTCATTGTCCCAGGTCACCTCATAGTCCGGGTACCGAGCCTTCAGTTTCTCCGTGGTCACTGCGTGGTTTGCTCTTCCAAATCCCTGCAACAGCGAGAAAAACCATCAACCTTTGATTACAGCGTCTGAAAAGTTGCATTTTACGTAACTGGACATTATTGTTTACCATGGAGTATCCGTAAACATGGATCTTCTTGGACTGGGCATCGTGTTTGATCCTCCCTCCTCCGATACACTCGCAGTCCAGAAGGCCTTCTTTCTCCAGCTCCTCCGAAACCTTCTCATAGATATCAGCTGCGAGAAAGGCAGAGCAACACATTGAACTAACGCCGTTTGGATAAATGACCAAAACATAAATGAGAGAAACAACAAATGCTGTCCTCATTAAGCTGTTCTGACGTAGCCTTTGATGCTGGACCATAAGATCTTGTTGTGAAGACTTGAACAGGTGTTGAAAGGCGCAGTTTTATCTTTGATCCTACCTGACCACCAGGAGCATTTCTGTTAGGCAAACTGTCCTCTTCTGCAGCTCATCTGACTTGTGGTGTCCCTCAAGGGTCTAGTCTAGGCCCACTGCTTTTTGACTTTTACGCATTGCCTCTGGGGTCCATTTTAAGAAAATATAGCATTCCTCTCCACTGCTTTGATGATGATATCTAGGGTTATAAGACCATTAGGTCATGGATTTTGGGCGTTTATGGCTAATGCTGGTAACTGATATATTGTCTGGAAATATGTGAGCTTTGTCCACCCCCAATAATCCAAGTAAACAGCTACTTTAAAACCTGTTTTAACTCTTGAAGTCTTGAAACAGTCTTCGTAACGTGCAATCACGTTTTCTACCCTCCACTATTCACCATGAAGTTATCAAGTGTGTTATAAAAATAAAAAAATCAAAGAAACGCCCTTCACTGTTCATTGTTTTAACAGTTTAATTAGAATTGACCGCAGCAGAGGGTTTTTTTTTTTGTTCTTTTCAGAGAAGTAAAGATTTCAGACAATGTATTTCATTGAGGACAACAAAGACAATGTTGCTAACACTGAAATATTTTACCTCTACGTTAGATTTATTGTTCTGGCTAAAGTTTTACAAGGCAATAGCCTATGCTAGGTTATCTAAACGTTAGCTTGCTAACATGAGAGGCACGTAGCTAATGACAAGCAGGTTGGAGGATCGAAGAGAATTTATTATTGTTGATTTTTTTTAATTTACAGATCAGTTAAAATAAACTTACCATGATCTGTTCAGCACAATATGCTACACAGTGTTGCTCGCTGCTTCAGCCGTGCTGAAAGTGAAACTTAAAGTGAACAAAACAGTCTGCATGCGCCCTCTGCTGGATACATTGTACAATTACGCCTCGTGCAAGTAAGGACACGGCTTGTGTCCAATATTTTAGGGGTGAGAATTAGAAGTGCTTAAATCAGCGCATTATGAGCCAATAATCACAGATATCGATAAGTCGTCAAACGCCTACATTGGCCTAAAATGTCGGTCTGTAAACTTTTTAATGACTCCCTTGTGAAATGTTCGCCAACTAGTCTTAAACAGTCGCAGCCCAGTCAGATACTTCCTATAACCCTCCTGCTGCCCTTGGGTCAAAATTTGACCCAAGGGCAGCAGGAGGGTCAAGACACGAGTAAAATTGATTTCTACTAAGCCCTTCAATTTACTTTAGGCAGGCGATTTGTTCTTTTGTCAGAAGGAAAAGCATCAAATTAAGACAAATTCAAGTAAACAGATTATAATAATCTCTATTCATCCCACTGGTCGTGAACCTCACCGTGGTACTCGGCCCAGCCGTGTCCTCGGACTATGTCCACCTCCGAGTCGTCTCCCTCCTCCCGGCTGTGAACTCGGATCAGGACGTATTTAAACACTCCGGACGGGTCGATGTCCACCTGCGGGATGTTGGCCATGACGGCCGCTGCCTCCGTCTGGGTGCACATCTCCGATCCCTTCACCACTCCGACCAGAAAAACGACCAACACCACGAGGGGTCGGATTTTTTCACCGACTTCCGTGTTGCTCCTTTTAAAAAATAACAGTTTACGGCTTATTTGTGTTATAAATATTTAAAATTATACTATTTAAAGAAAGAATTTAGTACCAAGGAGGCGCACTACTCAGAAAATAAATCGGAAAGTAGCTCCACTACTCTCAAGCCTGCGCCGCCATGATGTAACACGTGACAAGCGCACTTCCGATTTTGGCCTTCACAATAAAAGACAGAAACGTCGCTTTGCTATATTTTCCCTTAATACGTGGCATATTTCTGTGTTTTGCTTTACTTATTTAATGCGAATATCATTAAAATTTCCATATAATAAATTATATTTTTTTACTTCTTCAGGTTTAGCAAACACATCTGGTTAATTTTCTTTTATTCTGAAAGCAAATCAATTTTACCGGAAAAACTTATTTGGTCATTCTGGTTGTTGTGGTTCAAACAAGAGTTGAAGCTGAGCAGTTTGTGAGACTGATAAAGTGAACCAGATAGTGTTTAGATTAAAAATAATAATAATAAATACATAAACCAAAAAAAGTTGAATTGTATATAAATTTGTAAGTGCACATCATTTATGCAATCTATTCCTTTATTGTGATAGTTTAAGCCTCACAAAAGACTTTGAAAGGTTGCAAATAAAATTGTCTTTACAAGAATCTTTATTAAACACAACCATTTTTTTTTTAAAAGATGCCAAGCATGAACCTCACATCTCAACATTCAAGACTATTTTTGGATGGTTAGATATTAAGGTTTTAAGTTGTACTATTGCAAATAAAAAGTAGGACTTACAAGCCACTCCAGTACAAACACAATTATCATACAAACTGTACATCACATTAAAGTAATGTTGTCTGACAAATTAAAGAACAATGATATGTTCCAGAGACAATAAATCACTTTCTTTCAGCTGGTAAGTGTAAAAATATTCAAAGTTACTTCAGGCAGACCAAGCTACAGACAAATATCTTTAAATAGGAGTAAGTTGTATTACAGTTGGTGGGAATCTTGCAACAATTTAATCCATTTTAACGTAACAGAGAGAAAAACCAGACATTTTGGGAAAAATGGATCAAGTTTTGACTTCTTAAAAGAAATAATAATAATACATTCAGAATATGTTTTAATGTTTTTTTTTGGTTCTGTACCTCAGCAGGAAAAAAAAAGGTTAAATCAGTTATAATTTTTGATAGACGGTTGGTTGTTTCTATGTGATTTATGCAATAATGAATTTTATTTAATGATTTTAATCAATATTTAATCAGTTTTAGTTAAAACATTAACAAAAAGTCATGTTTGGTGGTAACATGGTCACAGGTCTCTCTTGTAAACGAGTCCTCGAGGCTCAATGAGACTAACCTGTATAAATAATGGTTGAATGAAAAAAATCACAGTGAGTAAACATGTTTCCTGTTCGACTGTTTTTACCATTTTGGGGTAAAAGTTCATCGTTCTGATTTTTAAAGTAGGGTTGTGTGGAAAAGTTATGAACAGTTGACATCTTACCTGTTGAGGATAGCTTTAAACTCCCTCAGTTTGGAGAAATAGTAACATTTTTACAAGATTGATAACACGTGAGGCCAAATCCTTTTTTTTTTTACATAAATATTTGCTTTGATACAAGTTTAATTTACATAAAGCGGCTGCAGCTAGCTGTAGCACTTCCACTGCAGCCTGGGGCACTTGTGGTAGGAATGTCTGTCAGAATACCATGTAATATGAAACATGGTGGTGTAAAAGTTTACGTGTATGTTTTTTTAATTTTTCTTTTTTAAGGTGACATTTAACCAAATCCAAACAGGTCAACTGTGAAATGTAGCCGAGTTAGCCAAGGGCTAAACTTTACTGGCAGTTCTCTGCTCAGAGACAAACATCCAGAATACAAAATTACAAGACAGTATACTGACTCAGTTTAAGGCAAGTTTTCCCACGGCACTGGGCAGCGTTTCAGTTTCTAGATGGTGCTTTCTTCACGTTCTTTCTTCCAGTCTCGAGTCCGAAAGAAAACGAAGGCCAGGACAATAACAAGGAAGACGACAAAAAGAAAGACGAGTGTCCCCCAGGCTCCTGTGGACAGGGTCTTCCTGACCCCCACGCTTTCTGCAGGCAGCAAATTACTCAGAGTCAGCATGTAGCCCAGAGCCCAGCCCACGGAGGCGTCTCCAGCCTGCAGGAGCAGGAAAAAACAACCATTTACTAATATTTACACTCTGTGAGGTCTTTAGGTCTTTATCGATGGATTACCTGCTGCTGGAAGGAGACGTGTGGGAATGACGTGTTATCAAAACCGTATCCTCTTAAAATCAGAGTTTTGACGAACACAGAGGAGGCGCAGTAGTTCTGCAAACGAGACCTGTCCTTCGGAGCTCGGAGCAGCATCTGAACCAAAAAAAAAGGCGGAACGTGTTAAAGGCAGATGATGATCTACAACTAATTACCTTTAGATGTCGTCCAATTCCTGGGGAAGCTAATAGAAACAGGAAAATGGTGGTGGTAGCCGAGATTCTTTTACAACGTTTGACCAAAACAGCCACAACATAAGGGGACCTTATGGAAGGCAGCGGGCGATATGCATTCATTCAAGGGAAAGCAAGGCCTTCAGTTGGACTTTAAGATGATGATTACCTATCCTACTCTTTGTGAAGTCTACAGGTCTCGACAGGCTGCTTTGATGCTCTTGTTCAGGTTTGTCATGGTGATGTTGCCTCCTCCTTTGGAGGCAGATTGTGGACTTGAATCAGGAGTTTCAGGATGACACCACCCTGGATGGTCTGTAGGGGACGAGGTGGTCTACAGCGAAGTGCTTAGCCACCAACCTGCTGCTGAACACCACAAAAATCAAGGTCAACGCAGACTTCTGAAGGTCCAAAGTGGACCGTGCACACCCTCAGATCAACAGGGATGCAGTGGAGATTTCTGGGAGTCCACATAATGGAGGAGCTGGTCTGAAAACAGCAAAGGAGTGAAGTAATCTCAGATCCTCCTCTTCCTCCCAACTCATCGTTCCACCTGCTCGCCTGACCATCATGGGGTCCAGAACTTTCAGCCACTCGGCCCACCCGTCTTAGGAACTTTCTCCCTCAGGACTTGAGTTATTCAGTGCTCTATCCCAGCACCGATCTAGCCACTTCCTGACTCAGTTGCAATCCTATATTGTGTTTTTGTGAAGCTCATTATTCTATTCTATTCTATTCTATTCTATTCTATTCTATTCTATCAGGACTGGTTTATATGAAGAAATAGACCTACTTGACTGAACGTCATGCTGCAGACGGTTCTGGCCGCCTCCTCCAGCTGCTGCGGCGAGCTCATGCTGATCCCAGTGATTCGCTGCAGGAAGGAGTGGATGTAGAAAAACGCAGAAAACGCCTTATAAGAAAATAAAAAACACAAAAAAAAAGATTTAAAACACACAAAGGAAATGATAGGTTACCATCCAAGTCTACGACGACGCAGGCGTCCTTCGTACCATGAAGCTACCGGTGACCTTTGGTTGGAAAACGTTGTCGAAGGAGCACCGCGAGAACGGACAGCTGCCGAAGGAGAAGAGCTCGGTCACGTTGCCCACGCAGTGCTCGTAATGTCCGCTGCCTCGAACCGTCACAGAGTCCTGAGGGTTGTACGAGCCGGGTCTTTGCTTCTCTGTGCAGGGGGAGCCAAAGATTTCCTGCATTTTTACTGTCCTGTTGTAGTCTGCAGGGTAGCAGGGATGAGTGACGGTTGTAGAGGAACCCTGAAACGGAGAGATGGGCAGAACCAGCCGAAATATGAGCTACACTTAGTGTCAGCGGAAAATAAATGTAATGTTTGCTGCCAAAATGCAGTTTAAATGCTGAATGAAAAATGTTAAAATTAGCTGAAGGCAAGTTAAAGGTAAAGCAAGATCCATCCATTCATCCATCCATTCATTCATCCATCCATCCATCCGCTGCTTTATCCACAGTCCAGCAGAGAAAACTGATTTCGACCACTTGTATCTTCAGTCTCATTCTTTCAGTTATTGCCCAGAGATTGTGGCCACAGGTGAGTGTAGGAACGTAGACTGACAGAGAGCTTCTCTTTGCAGCTCAGCTCCCTCTTCACCACAACGGACCGGCACAAGTTACGCAACACTGCAGAAGCTGCACCAATACAGCGTTCCTGCTCAGGGAGACTGGTTCCAGAGACCATGCCCTGACTTGTACGGCCCCTCCTACAGCGGGTGGGCCCACATGAAGGCAGCCCCCGACTGGGCCCGGTAGGCAGAGGACACCAGTCCCCCAGGACTGGCTCCAGGATGGGGCCCTGATATGCCACATCCAGGCAATAAACACTGAGCTCCTAAAATTAAATGAGCAAAACTGTAGCTAAAAACAAAAAAATATAGCTAAAGTTTGCACAGGAAACCAAAACTATTATTATTATTGGGGATATTTTTAAATTAACTTAAATATTAAAAGTATAAAGTTGTAAAAAACCAAAGTCATAGCACATAATTTTTAATTTTAGCACATAACTCAGACATTTCAGCTTTTATTTATTTATTTTTTTTTTAATCATTTTCAACAGCGTGTTTCATGCAACGCGTTTTAAATGTTGTTCTAGTTCGGCAGCAGGAAGCCTCCAAGATGTTCAAACTGACTCACAAACACATCCAAAGTATTTCACACCTGGTGTTTAAAGGTAAACATCCTTTTCCAAAACACCCCCGAAAAGATTACACGTTGAAAGTGACGTTTGTTTAACAAGCAGTTTGGAAAAAATCACAAGAATCTTAAGAAAATAATGACAAGATGGACGGACATCAGCAATGATCTTTAGAGAAGCAGCTGTTGCCACCCATCAATCAGGGAAGGGTCAAAGGTCGTTTCCAAACATCGTTGTACAGACAAAAATTATTCACAAGAGGAAAACATTTAAGACAGCATCTTCCCAAGAGTGGACGTCCCAGCAAGTTTACCCAGAAGGTCAGACTGTGCAATGCTCAGAGAAATGAGCTCCATCTCAGACTCTACAGGCCTCGGTTTGCAGGTCAAAGGTCACAACAGGACAAATGGAGACTAGCTTGGATGGATTGCTGGATAAAAACTCTTCTCTAAAAGCATCATGGAGGCACAACTTAGGTTTGAAAAGTTTCTGGAACAAAAACCAGACCATAGTGGAGATGTTTACCCAGAATGCACTGCAGTAAACACCTCACCAGCTGTGGAGGGCTGATGGTTTGGGCTCTGTGCAGTCATTGAGTTCACCATGAACTCTGTAGACCAAAGGGATCAAACATGAGTCCATCTGTCCAACAGCTGAAGTTTGGACCAAACTGGGTCCAACAGGACCATGATCCCAAACACAACAGAACGGGTCAGAAAGACCAGAACCAAGGTGCTGCAACGGTCCACTCAGAGTCCAGACAGGCTGTGGTGGGACCTTCAGAGAGCTGAGCAGAAACCTAAGTGAACTGAAGCAACGTTGGAAAGAAGAGTGGGCCAAAATTCATCCAGAACCACGTGAGACAAACATAAAACCACCACTGAAGGAGGTTCTACAGGCTGTTGGATCAGGGTACATGTTCCACACTTGTCTTTCCAGAACCGCGCCGCTCAGCGTGGCTGCATGTTGGAGTAGCTCTCTTAATTCATTCTGAGATTTTGATTTTGAAAACTTTAATTCCTCTTTTTTTCTGGATGTAAATCACTTTTTTCAGATGAGAACATCCTCTGGTATCAGATGCTGTGCATCTGGAAGGATTTTTACTGAAATCTTTTTTTTTAACTTTTGGACATTTGTTATGATGCGTAACCATAACAACAAAGTGGTTTTCTACAACTGGGAGCTGCTGATTAACATCTCAAAAGCTCAAATAATCTCAACTACAGTCCCAAATGAGTTGAAAAGGAGGTGCCATGGATGCATTCGCGTCTACCTGGAGGCGGCACTTGAGTGCCTGACTGCCGAGATCTTAGAGGCAGCGGGAAACGTGGCTAGTGACAGCGGTAGGACCGAGATTGTCCCCCGGCACCTGCAGTTAAGTCTGCAGCGATGAGGAGCTCGGCAGGCTGCTGGGAGAAATCGCTCGGGGAGTAGTTCTGCCAGGAATTCATGCAGTCCTGCTGCCCGAGAGGACCAAGAGCACTGCTGGATCTGAGTGGATGGATCGGCATCTGCAGCCAGTTTCTTTGGATCTGCTGTGGGATGGTCTGCTACAAGAGATCCTTCCTGCCCACAGCCATCAGCATCTAGAGCAACTCTAATGAAACCAGGATGAGCTACAACAACAATTAATTTCCCTTTGGGATTAATAAAGTATATTTGAATTGAATTGAATTTGTTCAATAAGTAATGACTCGGTGGAATCTGTTGAGCGTTTTTGTCCATTTGGGGTTAGAAGTGAACAACTTCAGGACCTGCTGAAGACCACCTCACTTTGTTAAGTCCTGATGAAATTCTAGAACTGGTTGCAAGTGGACTTTCTTTCTCTCTGGTGTACTGGGGACTAGACTTTTCTTTAACCCCTCAAGGGTTTAGACAACATTGTAAAGCTCATTTTCTCTTCAGGCGCTTCATGTTACCAGCTGCGTCAAACGTTGAGCAAATTATTCGAACATCTCGATCCTGACCAAAAACACATTCATGCCAGAACGAGAAAACACAGTTTGGGACAATATTTAGACAACAAACAACCATGCAAGACACTTTCAGTGAAGGTGAAGTCTTTGTGTTATCCTCTGGACGGTTACTTCTTACCTGAGGACCTGACTCAACCTTGTTAGATTTATCCACCTGGATTACTGAGCATGCATCAGGACTCTTTGTGTTACCTTTACAAATTTAGCCAGCAGTCTCTTGAGGACCTGGCCGTTCCCGTAGCACAAGAAGCTGTGTGTGTACAGAGAGTACTCTCGGCCGTAAAGTCGAAGCTTCATCAAGTTAAGTTTGTCCTCTACTGGCTCCTGGGTAGCAAAGGTTATCTGTGTGGACGCCCCGCCAAAATCCAGCGCACCCACAGTCGGTCTGCCGGGGCTGAACCAATGTCCCACAAAACTATACTGCAATACAAAGAAACCAGGAAGAATCACGAAAGATTGATGAAACGATGAAACTTTTAATCAAACGTTGGGTACCTTGATTAGGTTCTCTAAGAGGTAGTTGACGGTGACCCAACCATACGCTCCCTCCTCTTGTCCGGTCAGTATAGCGGCACCACGGTAGTCAAAAGGGTACGACTGGATTTTGAGGCTCACTTCCTTAAGAATCTGACTTGACTGCTCTGAATTGGAAATCCTTAAAAAAAAGAATTTGTTTCAGTTGAACCGGCGAGTTGTATCGGGAAAAACATTGCAACGCTGAACACTTCATGATCAAATTCAGGTTCATGTTATTGTCATTCAATGCACATTTTAAGAAGATTTGGGACAGCATTTGATCGTTGCCCTACTCGTTGCGTCGTACCTCGTCTTGTTCTGTATCGTCCCACGTTTTATTAACCTTTACACCAAACTAGGTTCCAAGCAATGTCGACCATACTGGCAATAAAGTTCTGATTGATTCAGTGACTTGCAAAAAAGGAACAGTAGCAGTAGGAACAGAGAGACGTTAGGAATAAACGAAATGTTTGACATCCACCAAAACAATGACAGCATTTAGTGGAGAAGCCTTTGTTGAGTCAGTGTTTCTTGTGGTTGAGCATGAAACATTTCAAGAGGGATACTAGCCCACTCCTCTTTACAGAAACTCTCTAAATCCTTCTGATGTCTCGGCTGCTGCTTGGCTTCTTGAATCTTCAGCTACCTTCACAGATTTTCTGCAGGATCAAGTTCTATTTCGTATAGGCTTCGCCCTTTAAGGCTATCGCTAGTGGGTTTATCCCCTTCATGCGCAACACTGAAGCACGAAGGGGATAAACCCACTAGCGATAGCCTTAAAGGGCTGCGCCTATACTCATAGAATCTGGGGTTACAGTACGTAACCAACGATCTGGGGACTGGCTGAGCCACTCCATGTCCCTTACCCATTTGTTGTCCTTGGGTCAAAATGACCCACGAGACCTCCTCATGAGTCATTTTGACCCAAGGGCAGCAGTAGGGTTAAAATAGTTCTTTTTATAGCTAGTACTTTCACCATGACAGAGTTTTAGGTCATTGCCATGGTAGAAGACCAAACCTCACCCCATCTTGGGGGTTCTGACTGAGGGAAGAAGGTCCTTGTTCATAATTTCCAGCTCCAACCACTGGCCCCTCGATACAGAGAAGTTGTCCTGTACCCTTAGCAGAAGAACAGATCCAAACCACGTTGCCACCTCCGTGCTTATGCCATTTTGCTGACAGTCTTGCAGCCGATTCCAGATCTACCGTCTTGTTCCTCATGTTCTTGGATAACCCTTTGGTGCTGTCCTCTGGTATTTGGGGTTGAGATCGAGAGTCTCTGAAATGTATAGTCTGTGTGCCATACACAACCAATCTATGGATAAAATTTTGTTTGGGTTGTTGGGGATCAAATACTTTTTCAGTCAGTGGCAAGCAAATCAACTTTTAGCTGTCACAGAGTTTTATTGTCCTAGATTTTGCAGGATTAAATTAGAACATTTGACATTTTTAATACATTTCTATGCCAGATTTTGAAAACTAAAGGTGTTCAAGTTCTTGAGGCTGTGCCTGAAAGTTTCATGAACATGTCGTGGTAACACATTTTGCCTGCAGGGCCAGAGGTTTTGAATCTTGCAACGAGCCCAAGAGACTCCCTGACATCCTTCAAGCCAGAACGCTGAACACAAGACGTCAGCTCGGGCTTCAGGCAGTTTCCAACCATGCCTTTCGACTTTGTCATCTTTTCATCTCTGCATAATTTTATTAACGCTGATTCAGCGTTCACACCATTAATTTCCTAGTTCTTAGTTTTCCTGTATGTTTTTGCAGCTTAACTGCTTCTGCATACTTCATGCTTTTTTAGCTATTCTTATATCAAAGTGTTCAGCTGCTTCAGGAGACAGGTGCTACAACTTTCAGTTTTTATAACTTTCATAGCTTTATATCCAACTTTTTTTTTTTTTTACAAATTTGTATAGAAATACATAGATCTCCCTAAGTCCTTCAAAAACAAATCTCCTTCAGCGTACCTGCTCTGCTTCTGTGTTTTTATGCTAATTTTTTGTATCCAGCTATCCTTTTGATGGACTTTTATTTAACGTTTTGCTATTTTTAGCTTCTATTTACCAGTTTGCTACTTCTACTTTTTGCTGCTAGCTAAACCAGCTAAACTAACCTTTGACTACGTTAGCTTTTATCTCGTCTTTTGCTTTTATCTATTGTTCTGCAGCCTTTAGCTCTTGTTTTGCTATATTATTCTTTTAACGACCCTTTTGCTAATTTTAGTTTATTCAAATACCAGGTGAAATAGCAATTTTTTTATTTTACTACTTTTATCTTTAAGCTAACAATTGTTACATTTAGCCTTTAGCCAGCCTTTTGCTATTATCAATCTTTAGCTAGATTTTTGCCACATTTAAGCTTTGGCTAATCCTTTGCTACTTTTACTTTTTAGCTACCCTTTTGATCCTTAGGTTTTTTGCTTCTAGCTAAAAGAGCAAAAGTAGTATTTTGCTATATTTAGCTTTCAGGTAGCCTTTTACTACATTTAGCTTTTAGCTAGCCTTTTGTTACCTTCAGCCTTAACTAGTCTTTTGCGACTTTCAGACTTTACTTATATTTTTGCTACCTTCAGCATTTAGCTAGCATTTTGCCATTTTCAGCCTTTAGCTATCTTTATGCTACTTTCAAATTTTAACTAGCCTTTTGCTACATTTAGTTTTAAACTAGAATTTTGCTATTTTTAGCTTTAGCATATCCTTTTGCCACTTTTAATCCTAAGCCAGTCTTTTGCAACTTGCAGCTTTCTGATACTAGGTAAAGTAGCTAAAGAAACTGCTAATTACATTTAGCTTTTAGCTAACCTTTTGCTACATTCAGCCTTTAGCTTGCTTTTTTTTTACTTCAGCTTTGGGCTGGCTTGGTGCTACATTTGGTCTTTAGCTACCTTTTTGCTATTTTCAGCTCATAGCTTGCCTTTTACTACTTTCAACCTTTAGCTGGCATTGTGCTACATTCTGTCCTTAGCTAGCCTTTTGCTATTTTTATCACGTAGTTAACCTTTTGCTACTTTCAGCCTTTAGCTGGCTTTGTGATGCATTTAGTCTTTAGCTAGCCTTTTGCTACTTTCAGACTTTAGTTAGCATTTTTCTACTTTCAGCGTTTAGCTAATAGCTAGCCTTTTGCTACATTTAGCTTTAACCTATCCTTTTACTACTTGTTTTTCTTCTACTAGCTAAAGTAGCTAAAGAAACTGTTACATTTAGCGATTGGCTAACCTTTTGCTGCATTCAGGCTTTAGCTCGCCTTTTGTTACATTTGGGTTATGGCTAGTGAGCGAACACATTTTAACTTTGTAGAAACGTAAGAAGTAGACGGTAAGTAAAGTTTTTATAGAAAAATTTAAACGGTTCAAAGTCAGAATTAGCAATTAGATGTACAAAGATGAGAAACTGGAACCGGCCCAGAATCGGTTTATTTAGAGTCCAGGCTGATCTAAACTGTTTACATGTTTACACACTAAAATCTACAATACGGTAGTCCATCGCTACTTCGCGATTCGACTTTCGTGGACTCGCTCTTTTGCGGTTTTTCAAAGTAAGATTGGACGTGACGCACGACTGATGGATGAGCCGCAAGATCGGCGTGGATTTTTTATTTAAAATGAATTATTTTAAATCATTTTGCTGCACCTGTGTGCAGCGCACAGGTGCAGGGAGAAGCTCCCTCCTGCAGCATGTCAGGATCTCCGCTCTGCAGCGGAGAAGTGGGCGTGAATGGAGCCCCCCAAGATAAATGAGGGACTACTGTAACGGATTTATTTAATGTTAGTTTCTGAAACCTGTCGTCTACCTTCGGCTTCTGGAAGCCGACGGTGGTTTTAGTCCCGTGTCAGGGAGGTAATCTGTTTTTATCGTGAAGGATTAGAGAAACAAAAACACAGACAGGCTGCTGACGTAAAGTCACTCACTCCAGAAGTCTCATGCCAGCTGTGGCTCCCAGGTACACAGGTGTGCTCCGGTGTCTGTCTTTGGGGATATCGTTAACGGCCCGGTCCAGACACGCCTCCAAACTCTGCCCCGCTGAACCCTTTTGGCCTGCGTAGCTGGAAATTCCTTCGCCTGAGCGAGCGTCGAGGAGAAAAACAGAAGAAGTACCAAACATCTGATTATATGACCGGCCTGTTGAGTCATGCTGCTAAATAAGCAGAGTCAGCTTCTGTGATCCTTATTTACCAAATGTTAATGTCAAATCAGTCTCTCCTACTGGACCAGAAATACTGGTTTCAAATCCAGGATCCAGCAGGATTATACAAAGAACTGTGCTTTCAGAAAACACTAAGATATACTGTATACAGACAATAACGTAAAGTATTAACAAGTTCTCATTAGTGATCGTGGTTGACTGTAGCTTGCTGCTTCTCAAAGGGTTCACTCCTGGACTGACCAAGACTCATCTGCTCAACTGGTTCAGATGTTCAGAACCCCCAAGGCTCAAAGTGAAACCTCTGGAAACAGCTGAAACACCTGGAAGCTCCGCCTCCACACCTTTCAGATGGACTGAAGCCGTCCATATGGAAGAGCCGAATGTCTCCTGGAGAAAAGTTTGACGGTCAAACGAGTCAAGGATCGAGCTGTTTGGAGGAAGAACACTGCACCAACTGTCCAGCATGGCGGTGGTAGCACCATGACGTGGAGCTAAGTGGACGAAGACCACCATCAAATTCTCCAACTTCACCTCCACCCAGGAGAAAGAACGTCTCAGATTGATCAGTTAAGGCCAAACATTTTATGACATTTATGCCTGAGATGAGGGAATAAAAACGGTGATTGCACCTGCGTGCCGACTGGCTGATGAAACACAGGAAGTAAACGTGTCGACTTCCACTCATTCCTGCAACCTGACCCTAAACCTGACCCTTAGCCCCAAAAATGGTGGTCGGCCATATTTGGACTGGGCTTTTGGAGTGAAAGGGAGAACATGAACACAACGTTGAACACTTCTTCTTCTTCTTCTACTTTTTTTTGTTTTTCCCTCTTCAGGGTCTCCACAGAAAGTCCTCCTCCACCTCTCTCTGTCCTCACTCCAACTACCTCCATGTCCTCTCAAACTGCATCAACATATATTCTCTTTGGCCTTCACATGTTTCTGAAACAGACTGATCTACGAAGAAACACAGGTTTAGTGTTCGGGGCTGCTGTTTGCACCTGTTTCAGCGCAGCAGGACACATTTGACATGCAAACCACTGGTTTTAGTGGAGAGCGTGCTCGTACTTACCTGCCACGTGACACTCTCTGTGCTGGGTGACCACACCTGTGCCGTTCTGCTTGTCGGCGGGCCACTTGTAGATAAACAGAGAAGTGTGCGAAGATCCAGCATCCAGGACGATCCCGTACTGCGGGTGGAAAGACGAGACAGAAAAGAGCGTGAGGAGCAGAGAGTGAAACTTTTCTAGCAAAAGAAAGGAGGCAGAAGTTTAAATACGGTAGTATTTTTAAATAAAATGCAGAAATTTAAACGTGTCCTTTGTCTGCCTTGTAGCAAAATATCTCATGAATTACAAACAAGACTACAATCCTCTATAGTGTTGGATTGGCTAAAGTTAGCGGTTAGCTCGTCAATCTGGTCAGAGCTAAACAGTTTCTCCAAAGAGATGCCGCTCATAAGGCATCTGTAACAGGTAAGATATTCATTATCCACACCGTGACACAAAACCCCACTTTGATCAATCCGATTGATGCTTTAACTGAAATCTTTGCATTCGTGTCTCTAAAAAAAAATGAAGGGAACCCCCTTAGATTCAGCTTTTTCCCTGTTTGTGTCTGTGAGAGAAAGAGCAGCTTCATTAAACTTAAAAAGAACTGAACCCTTGGGATTTTCAGCCGGTAGCACAAAAACAAAAGACGAATGTGAACCGACGCAGACACGTGAAGCGGTCGTGTTCAGAATGCCAAAACAGCAGCGCAGTTCCACGTAAAAAAAAAACTTTTAAAAGCTGTTGTCGCCTCAGCTTCGTGCTCATGGCCCCATGAGACGCCTCCGTGCTCAAACTTTGACTATTATCAGTTATAAACTGAAGCGAGTCCTAATGTTGTGAAGTCAGCCCAGATAAAACTTTTACAGCACGACACCCAAGCCACACCTGAAATAGATACCGACAGGTTCGAGTAACCTTTAGTCATTCTATAGATATAAAAACAAAACAACAGAGGGCTTATTTTTTAATATTTTGCCTTCTTTTGTTTAGTTTCTGTGAAAATAGTTGTTTTTATAAGTGTAAAAGCCATTTGTGTCTCTGAAGTCCAGTCGTAATCCTTCACCTGCTACGGAAGTCCAAAGGTGACAAACCAGACACCGGTTATTGTTTGTTGCACTTTTAAAGAAACTCTGATATAAAAGAAGTAGGTGAGGACTCGACTGACTGGTTTTTGATCCATTATCAAGTGAAACCGTATAAAGACGTTAATGAAGCCGACAACTTTGAATAAAAGGTCAAAGTCGCCCCCCCCTCCTGTGGTTTAGCCCCCCACCTTCAGTTTAAGGTAAAGCTTTGGTCCAAACGAGTCTCTGCCACCAGCTGAGCTTCAAAGGCCCTCAGCAAAAAGGTTTTAGGCCCCGTTTGAACATTTATTTCACGTAAGGTTTCCAGAAACTCACCAGTTTGTTGTGAGAGTCCTTTAAAAAAAAAAAAAAACAATTAAATGTTTCTATAAGTTTGTGCTGTTTTATCCATTCGGCTGTCAGAATGTTCCTGTCACTCACGAGAAAGTTGCTGTGACGTTTGGTTTTTGTAACTTTTAGACTTTTCAAGTTTCTTTTTCAAAGAAATGTGTCTCTTAAAATTCTTGAAATAATTCTGGAAATCTGCTCCACCATATATTTTTTCAGCTTTTGGCCACTGTTCGGTAAATGTAGCTTTCAGCTACTGTTTTGTTACTTTTATCTATTATTCTGTTGGTTTTAGCTTCTGTTTTGTTGTCTTCACCCTCTTCTTGTTCTGATGGTTGCATCTACTGTTGTAGTTTAATTTACCGTTCTATTGATTTTAGCTGCTATTTTATAGGTTTTAGCTACTATTCCATTGGTTTTAACTGCTATTTTGTTGGTTTTAGCTTCTGTTACGCTGGTTTTAGCTACTAATTTGTTGTCTCCCCCTTCCACTGTTCTGT